GCTGTGCACCAACCTGACCTCTGCACAACACACCTGATGGTCCCGTTAAGAAAGTAAGAAATCCCACCAATGAACCCTGACAGGCTCACCTGTGATGTGAAACCATTTCAGGTGACTACACCATGAAGCTCACTGAGAGAAGGTTTGCAGAGCTGTCAGCAAAGCAAAGAGCGGCTACTTTGAGGAATCTAAAATATAAAACATATTTAGAGTTATTTATCAATTTTATCTTTGCTACATATTTCCATGTATCTTGCTTCATATATTTGATGTCTTCAGTTGGTATCTACTATGTAGAAAGAAGAAAAATAGAAATAGAAAAAACATTAAATGAGGAGGTGTGTCCAAACTGTTAGTGTATATCTGGCTGCTCCAGTTAATTTTGGCAGGACTACACCTCTGCCCAGCAGTAAGTCAAGAAGAGTCAAGAAAGCCTTTATTTGTCACGTGCAGATGGGACCGCCCCCCCTCCGATCTTACATACACAACACAGACATGACATGGGGAGACAGGTCGGGGACCGGTAGTATTTTGGATAAACACAGAAATGTACAATACAATCAGCAAGTCGAGGAAGCGAAAAAAAGAGAGCTCAGCGGTGGGTAAGGGGTGAGAAGTCAGCTGATGCAGACACAGCCATCCTGCCCTGCAGCTATTCATCCAGCGCTGGGCTCAGACGCACCGTCCGACTCGGCCTCGGAGATAAGCGTACGAGGGCGTTTGGATCGAAGAGTCTAACCACAGTTTGTTATCAGGGGAGAAATTATTTGTTATGTTCAGCTGCACCCTTGAGACCGCAGCTGGCGCCGAAATGGTAGCTGCACGAAATAACGGTGGTGTTCTTGCTTTAGTGCGAACCGCTGCATGTCAATTTTACAGTCGTCTAATGTCCATCACTGGTCTCTCACCATTCCCGCTGGAGAGCCGTGAGCCTCTCCATGATGTTATCCATCCATACCGAGAAGTTATCCAGTTTGCTCACAGAGCACGAGTGTTCACGACAGCCGTGAGCCTCTCCACGATGTTGTCAGATGTTGTCAGAGTCTCAGCACTCACAGCAGCCGCAAGCTTCTCCAATATGTCCTCCGTGCTGCGTCTAATGAGCCCATTCTGAGAAGCCACGGCTCACTCCATCGTTCCAATCAACACAGCGGGCAGCCTTGTGGGGATTTGAACAGCTGTTTCCGCTTTCTTTATTCTTCGATAAGCCAGCGCTGATCAGTTATTATGGTTCCAAAAAGATCGATGTCTTCAATGGGCTCTCCTGAAACCAGGCTTCTCATCGAGAAGAGGGTGTCATTCAGGCACCAGTTGATCAAATCCATAATTCCTCTTTTAGGTTTTAGAGAACAGACTGTGAGACTCTTCCAGGG